GGCCTACAACTCCCAGAATTCCTCAGGTAGCATGGCCAGTCTGCTCACTTCTAATAACTACTATTTCACCCCCTATAATATAGCACTATCAATGCTTAAGGGAGGGGAATATTTGCCAAAGACCTGCTGATGGTAGGAATTCATGCAGTTGGGTTAGAATTTAAGCCAATCATCTTGACTCAGTCAAGATGAAGAAATTGATAAACGTGTTTTAATTTTAAATTAGTCTGTCACCTAGGATGTTTGACCAGGAGAAGAGTTCTGGATTTAAGAAACCAAACTTCTGTGTTGAGTCTCATAGGCAAATTGTAGCAAGGCCTGGTGAATTGAACTTCTGCTATCTTATATATATATATACACTTCAACACACAACCTCATGATTACCCTTCCAAGGTGTTTTTGTCCTCCATAAAAAGGATAAGATACCTTACTTCTCTCTAAGACAACTGCAAGCGGGTGACAGTGGGTGAAGCAGACTGAAACAGAAATGCCTCTTCCAGGGCATGAAAGGCAGGCATCTATCAAACCCTACACCCCAGCGGTAGGGGGTGGTCCAATTCTCCTCCTTCCCACTGGTCCCTGTAGAGCTAGCTGCCTTTTCTCAGCATGTAAGGAATAAGAAAAAAATGAGAGAGAGAGAGTAAGAGAGAGAGAGAGAGTCTCTAATTTTTGTACCTTCCTTCTCTGGACAGTGATATGTATAACCCTGAGGGAGACAGTAAGGAAATGAGCCATGGTGATAGGATCAAACAGGAAGGCCCAGAAAGGGTATTCTGTCCAAAGCCTGCCCAAAATCTAGAGATAGGAACACCATCTCTACACAGAGTAGCAAATAAGTACACTACGGGGCTTCTAATCCAGGGGCAATTCATCCAAACTAAACAAACTTTGGTCTGATCAAATAAGAGCATTTACAATGGTGAGTCAAACCCTCAGTGCTTCTCCTCCCTCAATCCTTGCTTGCTCCCTGATCTCGATCCATTTTTGCTCCCTCTCCACCATCTTCCTTCCCTTTTTTTTGCCTTTCCTTCCTGCCTCCTTTCCCTTCTTAGAGCCAGGCGTTACCAGCGTGTTGCTTAGTGAGATTGCCCATGATCGCAGGCACCTACAGGCTCTGGGGATCCTTCAGAAATGGGAATTAGGGCCTGGTCTCAGTCAGAGAGCAAGGTTAATCAGAGTAGCTACGACAGCTGCCATGATGGACCTCTAGAGGTGGGAGTAGAACGGCACAAAATTCCACTCCACCACCTGAGATGGCTGCTTCTGCCCATTGTATGGGCTAGTCCTGGCCATTTGGTAGTTCTCATGACTGTTATCACTGACAACTTGCTAGACATTGTGGCCTAAACACACCCTGATGCTTGCATCAGCATCTGGGTTTTTGGCCTTTCTCCGTTGCCGCCCTAAACACATGCTGTGGGCTAGTCCACGGGCACAGTGACTATAAAGCCCTTATGTTTCTTTTTCTTTCCTGTCTGAACACAGAACATTGACAGAATATTGTCAACGTCTAAGAAGCTAGACAAGAACTTTATTTGTATATAGAGACTCTAAAGACCAGGATAACAACAGGAAACTCCTGACTCTACTTAGATGTAACTAAATCCAGTGGCCTGGATCAATTTGCCTTGTTACGTTGGTGTAACATTTGCAGGTGAACTACCTTAAGGTATCATCACAGACATTATTGGTTTTATTGCTTTTTAAGAAGGCTATTCAGGACTGTACAGTAACAGAATATGCTTTAGGTCATGAGACCTTCACACCAGCAGTAGGGTACTTGTGTTGATGTTGTTCAGCTACAACTCCCGTTAGTCAGGATGGCTTGTCCTGGTAGGAACTGGAATCCAACTGTATACCCTAGCCTTGCCTCATGCCATTCAAGTTGGAACATGAGGAGCTTGTCTTGTGAGCTGAATGGCTCCGGGGAGGAAAATATAAAATGCTGGGTTTTCCTCATGCAAACCAACCTCAGCACTAGGGCCCCCAAAGCATTATCTGAGCACATAGGTTGCTGAAGCAATGCATATGGAAGGCAACCCATACATTACTTCCTACTATCCAGTCAATCTCTACCAGGGCCAAAGCTTATCATGCTTCTTGATATCCCACAGTTGTCGCATACAGATGCAAAAAAGTGCAATATTGGCCAGGGTTTTCAGACATACTCAGCATTCAGTCTTGGAGGAAGAAGCAATGTGAAAAGAAAGTGGAGAATTTAAAGTAGTGCTGATAAAATTACATTTCCTCTCAGCGTGGTAGCCTACAGGAGAAAAAAGGACTAAATCTCATTTTCACAAATCCTTTTCTTTCTTTTTTTTAACGTAAGTGATACATAAAACATATTCATGTTATATTACCAGGCAGCAATATGGGAGTTTGGAAAGGTGAAATAAAAGTAACTCACTCCAAGCAAGGATGCATGATACACATAAATCGGTCTCTACATTCAGAGTACTGTTCTGAATAATCTAGTGCACAGTCAAAAGTATGGGAAGGGGGAGAGCATATGTAGACTATTATACAGATGATGTGATGCTGATCCATTTGTTGCAGGAGGAAGGAACTGAGGCCAGATAAGTGCTTTTCCTCTCTAAGAAAAAACACCTGACATAATAATCTATAATGGTGATATTCTTTCCTGTAACTGTGAGTGTGAATTTCCCAGTTCTTGCCACTGATTTCTGTACTTAGTGTGCATTTAGATGCTTTGATAATTATCAGATATACAGTACAACTGTTTGTAACTTCTCAGTTTGACAAAGGCCTTGAGTACAATGACAGACAATTTGATAAACTGATGGAAGCACAGATTTTTTTCCTCATGGAAACCTGAGGCCTGGCTTCCAATTGGAAAATATACATTTCTAAATATATTAGGGGAATTCTACAAATGTCTACTGAGACATAAGCCACTCAGGGTCAATGGGGGCTTACTCCCAGGTAAAGCATTGCAGCCTGCATAGTGGGATTATGCAAGTGGCGCCCTGGTTCTTCATTTCAGTTTTTATGTTCTCTCCATAACTTAATAAATGTGCAGGAATCACACACTGTACAGTACACGTATTCTCCCCAGCCACAGGCTTTATGTTTACAAAAGAAGCCTTGCATGTAGACATGTAGGAAGCCAGTTGAGGAACGGTATGTGCAAATGTGGCTTTATCCTTCTGGCTCACCTGCTAGAGCTGTGCACCCGAAGCCTTTTGGAACAGCCATAATAGTACCAATCTACTCTTTGCACAGGATTTCACAGAGATTGCAGATGCTGTACATGTGTTTACATATTGTAGGGGTACCATTCCAAGGTTGCTAAGCCACATGGGTGTTCTAGTGAGGGAAAACTCTCCTAGCATCCTGTGGCTGCTTCTGAGGGAAGGAGCTGCCATCATTCTCCCTCCTTCTCATTATCATAGAGAGCTTGCCATAGAGGCCTTTCCTTAGGTCAATCAGAGGGCTTGATTAATTGCCTTGCTCCAGACCAACCCTAATGTAACCAATGTCCTATCTGGACCCTGTCTACTATCTGTAATGCTGTGACTACCTGTGACCTTGTAATGTTAATAAAAGGACAGTCTCCTGGGGGCAGAGAGTCAGAACGATCCAGATGACTTCTCATTCTGCTTCCTTGCTGAGTCGCCCACCAGGAGTACTGCTGGCAGGCATCAATCTGTATGTGTGGCTGACTTCTATCTATTGCTAAGAAACTCTTTGCCATTCTATTACCTACCATGTGGTGATCACCACAAAGCCCATTAGCCTGCTCATTGCCTGAACCCCAACAACATATGTATCATTTTGTGAAAGCTTCCAATGTATGAGGTGCCCCAGGAAATTATTCAGATATCACTGATATGCAGGACAGCCAGTTGAAACAGTCAGGATACTTTTGCAATAACTGCACACACCAAGTAGTGGTGGTATTTGCGCTACCTGGTGTTAACACAGAAGTGGCTGGAAAAGTTTCAGGTGAAATTCTATGGTCCTGGAACTAAATCCCATTGAGCTCAAAGCCAGCTAAAGTGTTTTTTTTTTAAAGAGTCCTACAGCCCCTTACAATGCTAACAAAAGTATGTTAAATCTTTAAATTGGGACAGTACCCTGTTATTTTTGCTGCAACAGACTTAACACATTTAGCTTTGCCTGCCTGCGTTTGGAAAAGCATATTTTATGTATCTTTTGCCACATAATTCAGCCATGGGAAATCTATTGTTAGCAGCAGATCTATATATGTAGCGGAGCCAGGTTTCTTGGACTGCTGTTGAACTGGGGGGATGTCATATGAATGTAGCCAATGTTCTCCCTGGATATGAAGAGATAAGGTTCTAGCCTAGCCTCCTTTTCAACCCGCAGAATACTGTTTTTAAACGTGGCATTCCCCCACCTGCAGTCTAATGTGGAACAGTCCAGAAAACACAGCATTGCATGCTTCCACTGCCTGTGCTCATTGGTTCTGATAGAGAGCCAGCAGTCCTAAATGAAATAGAATGGAAGTACCGTGTATATTTTTACAGAGAGCAAAAATTCTTAAATCATCTGAAGAGTTAATTTCACTCATACGTACTTGCGGCATTGAAGTGGTGAACAGAATCTCTTCAAATAATGGAAATGGGGGTGGGGGGGAATCCTGAAAAGAGAAATGCAAAGACTCTAGATATGTTATGGTTTAATAACCGCTTTCAGTTTGGTCTCTTCCTAATTAATCTGGATTGTGGCCCACTATGGCTATTCATAGACTTGGTAAAAATGCTGTTCTGCTGAAGAAGCTTTTATAAATAAATATCCAACACAGAGAGTTTGGTTCATTTGACCAGTAGATGGTGCTGTCTTGTAGAAATGATGGGCTCTCTTCCCCCCCCCCTTTTTTTCTCCCCACATTTTCTTCTCAAGCTATTTGCTGATTTGTATTAGATACCATGGAGTGAGCCTCAGAACAGGAAGCCGAAGCCCAGGCTGAAAGCTGAAAGGATACTGCAGAGGTCTCTCCCTCCTTCCCTCCCTCCCTCCCTCCCTCTCTCTCTTTTCCCCCTTCCCTACAATGAAAATGCAGCAGTTTTGAATATTTAGAAATATTTTCGGGACTGGGAATCAGAAGAAGTGGATTAGATGGCATTTCATCCTGACTGCCCACCTTGGATCTTTTCCCTTCTTTCTTTGCTTTCTTTCACACAACACGTTTATAATGCTTTTTAAGGACCAGGTAAGGCAGCTGAATGTTTCCTTCTTACAGACTTCATCTGTTCTGATTTCTTTGTAATAACCGTACGGAAAGGCTTGTTTCAGGCATAGAAGAAAAAAGATGATTGATTTGGTCAAATCTGACAGAAGCTGAAATGAGGTTGGTTTCACAGCAGAGCATTTTCTTGCATACCTTACGTTTTCTGGGTGCGTGCCAGTTCCTCAGGTTATTTGCTTATTTTTGTTGTTGTTGTTGCTGCTGCTGCTATTGTCACATTCTAGATGCTCCGGACTGTCATGTAGGAGTGCTCTTCTTTCATTTTTGAGGTCATATTGTTCCTCATTGTAAAGGATATTCTGGAGACTTATTTTGAAATCCACCAGCTAGGCAGAGCCTAGCACTGCAGGGGTGAAAATCTCTCCTCACCCTCATTTCTCCCCCCCCCCAAAAAAACAGGCTGTGTTTCACAGGCCCAATGTCTTTTCAAGGTGCATTCGTTGCTGTTGTCCCCTCTCCTTTTTTCTAGAGGCACCCACTGTTTTCCTGGGGTGTACAGAGGACAGCCTTTATTTCAGCATACAGGATGTTAGAATACAAAGTGCCGCAGATGCAACTGTTCATAATCGGGGGGGGGGGGGGGGGCTCTTTTAAACAGTGCAGAAAAACTGGCAGGTGAACCTCAAGCCCTCCTTTCAGCATCTTTGCTAAAATGGATTTGTCCTCTGCTTCTTGTCTAAGGTATGTGCCTAAAACTCACAACTCACAAATGTTTACCTTGACTGTATCTCCCTCCCCCCTACACACACACTTTTAGCCTGGCAAAAAGGTATTTTTCGGCTAAAATATGTAGATATTTTGATTAGCATACTGCTTTAATGTTGTAATTTCACCTGGACGTTGAGATCAGGATTTCAGACCTGTGTCCAAAGTCATTGATTTCACAGGTGTGGTGTCAGTCAGTCCTATAAAACTGTCAGCACTTCACCTCTGAAAAGGAGGGTCTTTTCTCCTGGGATGTGTCAGTTGCTGATGCTGTGGCCAACAGGGCCGTCCCTCTTGTTAAGCAGAGTGAGGCAAAGGCCACAGATAATAGCAGGTGCTGGGACAGGAACAGCCACCACCATCCCGGCCATTTCTTCTGAATCTTCCTCCTTTCTTACAGGGCAGAGCTGTGGATCCCACACAGTCTCCCTAGTACCTCCAAAGTAGTCTGCTGCCCTCAGATATGTCAGAAGACACTGCTTTGTTGCCAGTACTGAACTGGTAGTCCTCTTCATTTCTGTACTTGGACCAAGGCTGGTGCCATTATGTATTTGCTCCGGGGGGCAGAAAGAAAAGAAGAAGAAGAAGAAGAAAGGCTTATGCCAGCCCTGATGGCTAGTCATGCACATGCAAAGCAAAATAAACAAACACAGACTGTAGAACCTTGTTGAGATTCATACCATTTAAACAAACAAAGAACACCTTCTTGCAAACCTTTAAAGAAAAGGATGATGGGTCTTCCTTTGCTGCACTAATGTACAGATCTAAGACAGGCTGCATCAATGTCAGTCACTCACTTGAGTAGACTTTATGAGTTACCTAATGCTTGGATTCTAACGTCTTCTACTATTGTATAGCTTAGAGCAGTGGTCTCCAACCTTGGGCCTGCAGATGTTTTTGGCCTTCAACTCCCGGAAATCCTGGCCAGCCAAAGTGGTAGTGAAGGCTTCTGGGAGTGGTAGTCCAAGAACATCTGGAGGCCCAAGGTTGGGGACCACTGGCTTAGAGCACTTCCCTTTTAAGTCCCAATAAGGCCTGCTTTACATATCTTATGCCTATGGCAATCCACTTCCACATCGCACATCTTGTTGACTGACAAAATGCTCAGTATGAGTTGCCGTTTGGAAGTTGCTGGCTGTATGGAAAGTTTCCTCTGTTCTGCCAGATGTTTCTAAGAATATACACTGCTGGCAAACCCTCTGTCTGACACTGAGTTTCCACATGGTAGGTCACACTAGACCAGACTTGGGCAAAGTGCAGCCCTCCAGATGTTGCTGAACTGTAAATCCCAACACTCCTCACTATTGGCTGTGTGGGCTAGGATTGCTGGGAGTTGCAGTTCAGCAACATCTGGAGGGCCACATTTTGCCCAGGTCTGCACTAGATCAGGGCTAAACAACTTGTGGTTTCTTCCACTCCCCCTATCACTGATTGTGCTATCTAGAGCTGAAGGAAGTTACAAACCAACAACATCTGGAGGGTCACACATTGTCCACCACTCAACTGGCCACTCACAATATGGTAGTTATACATAAGGAAACATCTTGCATGGGAGTAAGTTAGACCAACTTTGTCTTTCAGCTTGATCAGGAAGAAGTGTATAGACAAGTAGGGTTCATACTACCATGTGTTATCCCTTGATAAAGGCCTGTTGATGTGAAGGTGAAGCATTATAATAGATGACAGATTGGTCATATGTAACTGACCATGCATTTGGATGACTGTGTACTGTGACATTCAAGGCATGAAACTATTTTAATGCATATTTTCTTAACTCAGCTGGCTATAGAACATTGACTTCGAAGAGTTTTTAGGTGTTTTCCTATAGGTGTTTCTTTTTTGATCCTTGATTTTAACTTCCTAAAATTATAATAAAGGAGGTATTTTGTAGGTTCAAAACATCTGATACTCATTATGAGCAGTGACATCTCTGGATCAAACTTGCTCAAACTTCTGCCAACATCTGCTTCTCTAAATTCTCTGTATTCCTCTATATCTAATGACTTGATTTTTAAAATATAACAAATACAGTATTTCATTTCAAATAAAACAGAGAAAAAAGAATGCTTGATTAGCCTTACGGTTTTGTGTGCAAATAAGGTCTTCATACTTACTCAAATCACTCTTATAACATCTTCTGTAGAAAATGTACCCATGGGGGACTTTACTCCATGGACAAGGTTTTTTAAATGCTTCACACTGTGTTACTGGTGATTCCCTTGGGATAATCGAGTTGTTAATGCCAGCTGGAGTTCTTCCTGTTTGTCTTCTCAGGAGAGCTTTTCCCCAACAGACTTGTCTCCTCACTCCTTTCACCAGTTGTGTACTCAGCACTTGCAAATGGTTCTCTTGGTCCACATTCCTTGATTTCAGGTGCGTTTTGCTACCTTTCTCCTACATTCTCCCTGTCTCCTCACTTGATGTGACAATGGACTTACAGCTTAGTGCCCTTTCAACTCCCTCGTTTCCCCACTTCATCTCCTCAGTCTCTGTTAATGTCAGTAGCTTCCTTCTCAGGAGCAGGAGCCTCTGCCATCCTTTCTGTTTTCTTTCTGTTTCTCCCAAATAAATGTATCTCTGTACAGTGTTGTTCTATGGCTACTCCTGGAGAGGCTGCAGTTCCCACCATCTCTCACCACTGGCAATCTTGGTTAGAACTGTTGGGAGCTGTAGTTGCATGGCATCAGGAGGGCCACACACTCCCCATCTCTTTGCTATAACCTCCCATTGGCCAGCCACTGCAACAATATATTTTGAAACTGCCACAGTTTATGGTCATTTTCTATATATATTTTAAGTACGATTTCAACAGAAGCATGGCCCTCATGACTGAAGAAGGGTCATAGGTCTCTTTGCTATTTAGGTATTACTTATATTTCTATTTCACCCTTCCTTCAGTGAGATGAATGGATTCCCTTCCCTTTTTTATCCTCACAACACAGGTCAGTGGATCAGAGCTCTTAAGAGATACATGTAGGCAGTATTAAGACAGATGGATCATTGGTCTAACTTTGCATATGATTGCTTCCTATGTCCCTCATGTCCAACCTTAATGCATTATAGATATTTATGGACGAGAGCAGACCCATTTCCATTCAGGAGTGGAAGGAATTCATTTTTGAAAGATGGATGAAGTTTCCTTCTGGAGAGGGCTGCTTATACTACATATCCTGGCCCTTCACGAAAAAATTTTATGATTGGAGGGGGGGAATGAGGGGTCTGCCACTGAAAGATTCAGTGTAATATAGTAGTCAGCATTTTGGACTGAGACTTTGGGAGATTCAGGTCCAGGTCCTTGGAGGCCCATGAGATTTACTGAATGACCTTGGGCCCCTCACTTTCTCAGTCTGATTTACCTCCCTGAGCTGTTGTGAGGAAAGAGGGAAGGGGAACCATTCAGCTCATTAGAGGGAAGATGGGATATAAATGTCCCTGATAAAGAGAACCTCAAAACCCTTACGTGTAAGCAGAACACAGCAGACAGTGATTGGTTCTCAGACCTGGTAAATGTCAGACTAATAAGTAATATCTTTCAATACCCTCCTGTGTTGACATAGCCTTCATTCTCCGAGCAATGGAATTGTCTGAGATGGCAGATTTGAACTAATACAGCACTAAATGTGGTACAGTACCCCAAGTCAGCTTCACATATATATTATTTTATTTTCTCACAGTTCATTTTGAATTTTGCATAACAGCAACAAAACAGACACAAAGGTAATTCTGCCTATGCAGAATTTTCCAACTTTACAAGAAAAATACAACTGGTGCAGAAGTGACTTCTGTAAGGTCTAGACAATGCACATTTTCACAAAATAATCCTATGCATGTCTACAGAAAAATTCGTTCCATTCAGTTTCAGAGCTCTTCCTCCCAGTTTTAGCAGGTATAAGACTGCAGACGTATACAATTCTGTAACCACTTAGCTGGGCACGCGTCCCACTGAATTCGGTGGGGTATGCTTCTGAAGAGGCATGTACAGGGTTGCAGTGTAGGTCTATTCCATTCCAATAGACATTATCTCAAACCAATAAGAAAAAAATGACCCGTCGTGATCGGAAAAAAAAAGAAACGTGGAAAGATAGTTGCACATTCAGGTTATAAGTGATAACTCAAATTATCACATGAATAATGTAATAGGTGAACTTGCTCTAAAGTCTCTTTGAAGGTATTTAAAAATGCATGGTAGCAGAATGGATTCCAAGTCTCCCATAAGCATCCTTTCATGTTTTTTTAGCACTTCTTGGTAACACTTGGCC